GGCTGGAAGGCTGGAAGGCTGGATGGCGGGTAGGCTGGCACGGAAGTCACAATGTCAGTGTCTGAACTTAGCCAAGGCCGTGAAAAGTTTATCCTTCGGCGAGTGCGAGCTAAGCGCAACTTGGCGGCCAAGGAGCGCCACCTAGCCTCGTTTACGCAAGGGTTCTCCCTCTTCGCCAAGTAAATATGCAGAAAACCAACAAGAGCAATAACTGCGCTACACAAACACACCAACACACACCAGGATTCATACTCACACACTCAAACACTCGCACACTCAGCAACAGCGATGGCAAGTGCATAAAAATTAAGCAAACGGCACTTGAAACTGGCAACAAGACGGAGGGACGACCAACAATGCCAACAACAGCAACTAAACGCATAGAGTTTTATAACAAACGTACACAGAGAGAATAATATTAAATTAAAAATAATATCAAGTCCCATTGCAAGTAATAATACATTCAATAACATAACAATTCCCCATAAGTAAGATAGTCGTTTGAGCTCCATTTGAACCAAAAGATCTGAGGTTTACATATAGGAGATAATCTCTTATATGTCTTGATAAGATTGCAGTGTATCTAGGAGCATAACCAGCTTCTAGCTCCCATTTTCAAGCTCTCAGCTTCTATATCCCATATCCTGGTTCCATCTTCCTTCCTTCATCTCCATTCCAAAAAATGCAACAGTCGACAGGCAACTTCCGCTGTGCGTTGAACGTCACGCCGGCTGCACATCCTTCGCTTCGACCAAGCCAAACAGGACCAGAAGAGACCCTCCATCCCAATCTAAGCCAGAGCAGGCCCACTTGCAGACCCTAAACCGAGCCAAGATCCCAATGCCTGGACGCCCTTCGGGTAGCAGTAAAAACTTTTAGCCAGCCAAGTTTCAGCTCTCGTTCTTGTCTTTTTCTCTACTTTTTTCTTTGTCTTCCGCCGTTCGTGCCTGGCCAAAGGCTGCTCCTCGGATGCTCCTCAGATGCAACTTTGCCACAGATGAAACTTTAAGCCAGGTTCCCTATCTGGCGAGCGTTGTCGCTGCTCCTCTCGTACGTGTTTGTGTTCATTACGTACGTGTCCTTTTTGGCATTTTGCACTAGTTGTCAGCGCCCAAAAAGCTGCTGGCCAAAAGAATAAGCTGCACCGACACGATAGCGGACTTGCAGCTAACTTTACGGCGACTTTAGCTACAGGGGGATGTCTATAAATAGTTGAGATACAGACGAAAGTGTTTAATTTAAATGCTAAATATTAAATACAAGTCCTCAAGGAGCCTCTTGGCAGTTCCTGCTACCGAAGTTCAACTGTATATTTATGCCAGGAGATCCTTGTTTCTCCGCCGAGTTCTTATATATAATATTTTTGCTGGCATTGAGAGTATATTTCGCTGTAATATTGAGCGGCTGCCTGGTGCTTTCATTAACTGAAACCTTAGACGGCGACTTACCCGTTCGGAACTAGACTTTTAACTTGCCTGCACTCATTTTGCTTAATGATTTCAATTATTTCGTAATTAGTGCGGACAGGCAGCAGCAGCAAACCTGTCTTCTCCTGCTCCAGCTCCTGCTCCTGCTCCAGATCCTTCTTCTCCATTTTCCACTCCTGTCAACTGTCCATAGTTGAAGCAGGCCAGGGCAGGCCAGGACAGGACAGACCAGGCACCACAATGCGGCATCAGATTCGAAGGCAACGAAAAGTGCACTTGGCCGCAATTTGCAAAAAGTCTTTACAAAGTCCAAGTCTTCCATGGGGATGCGTTGGGTGGACGGTTGGACGACACTCATCTTTTGTGTTCCGGGCAAGTCCATTGAATGGGTATTCTCTCCCCTCTTCACTCCTACCCCGAGAGCAGTGTCAACAACTTCGCAATGAGTTTGTGTTTGTGGTACCAGGACCAGGACCAGGAGCAGGAGCAGGAGCAGGAGCAGGAGCACGAGACAGGACTTTGGCCGGGAGCTGTAAGTATTCGCACTCATCTGCTTATTTTTACCACGTTTCACGATGTTAACGCTCTTTTACGAGGTGTTTCTCACCTGCAGTGGCATAATGAATAGCGTACAGGTTTATAAACATCGCGACCAGGAAACTCTTGTTGATAAGATCAAGTGAAAAAAGTGGATAGAAAGTAATTTTTTTAAACTATTGCTTGCGAATTTATTTCGAGGAAAAGATAATTTTAAATGGCAAGAATATAGGTAGTTTAGTTCCTTAGCAATCCATATTAATTAACCCAAAGTTTGTCCTTTCCCAACAATGCATAAGCATGTGTTGGATTAGATTTGGAGAAAAGCTAGGGCCATAAGCTCTTAATCATTTAAAGCAATTTGCACACTCTCAATGCAATTCAATTAAAAGTTACCCTCACACAACACACACACCCTGGGCCAGGCCCCGATAGATACTCGGGCCGCACTCATTTCTGGTTTAATACTTTTAATACCTTTTGAATTGCCGGCCTGCCCCGAAGTTCGGTCTACTCCGGCTCTCAAGGAGACTTCAAAAATTGATGCCCAAGCAAACAGAGCAGGGTTTTCCAGGTCCTGCCGCCGCACTCATGTGCCATATTAACTTGCCCACACCCACATCCAGACCCCTAAAAGCCACCCCCTCCCAAAACGATTGTGCCGGAGTGCCACTCGATATTTATTCGATTTATGGAATTTTTGTCGGCAAAAGAATTTTTTAATAAAACGAATTTTATTGGCATTATCCTGCAGCTATTGCCATTGCTGTGTGCCAGAGAGAGGAAATTAATAATGCTACTAGGCTAATAAAGGCCCAGGCAGGCACCCACCCGACACGCACCTCCACACGTGTGTGTATATATACGAGTATATGGCATATCGGAGATATATATCGATGATGTGTCACATTTGGGCCCACGATGACGACAACGAATATTGAAAAGTTCTCCTCGAGTGGCTTTATTATTATTATTTGCATGGCCCTGACTGCTCAAGTTTTGTGCCATTTAATTTGTCATTATCCCAAACTTTGCTGCCAGCCAGAAATTTCTCCTCCCGCCCTTGGCCTTTCGCTCTCTCACAGATTTTGTAATTCTTTTCTCCTTTTTATCACCCGCAGGGGCATTTCCTTTGGGGCCAACCGGAAATTAAAAGTGTTGGTAAATATTATTTTTGGCGTATGGCAGTCAAAGCCACGATTTACAGTGCCCATCATAATTATGATAGTTGGAATGGTAATTTATTAAGGTAGTTAAATAATCTTCATTAAAAAAATCAAAAACCAAAAATTTTGACAATTTCAATGATGTAACTATAAATTTTTAAAGAATTCACAACAAAATTATTTTGATTAAGAATATATATGGTTTATGGGGTCGAAAATGACTCCTTCACCGCGTTACAAGATTCTGATTAATGCTAAAATACCATTTTTAGTCTATATTATTTATTTTTTTAAATGACAATTTGTTCAACAAACCAAAGTTTAAAAAATTCATAGCTAAGCAAAAAATCATTAATTTTAATTCGGAAAGCAGCCCTATGCTAGTTTTTATTAGAGTAATATATCTGCATACTCAACTTAAAATGTAAAAAAATCAACATTTTTGACAATTTTAAACCCTTCTAAAATTTTGAAAAAATGTTCAAAAATTAATGTTATATTTTTAATGCCTAGAAAGATTCGCCTGTTGATGCTGGTCAAGAATATATATGATTTATGGGATCGGAAACGACTCCTTCACTTTCTTTTAAGCTTCTGACTAAGCGTAAAATGACATTTTTTAGTCGATATTATTTATATTTTTATATTACAATTTGATGAACAAATGAAAGCTTAAAAAACTCATAGCTAAGCCAAATAACCACTAATTTTAATTCGGAAAGCAGCCCTATGCTAGTTTTTTTTAGAGTAATATATCTGCATACTCAACTTAAAATGTAAAAAAATCAACATTTTTGACAATTTTAAACCCTTCTAAAATTTTGAAAAAATGTTCAAAAATTAATGTTATTTTTTTAATGCCTAGAAAGATTTGGCTGTTGATGCTGATCAAAAATATATATGATTTATAGGGTTGAAAATGACTCCTTCACCGCGTTTGAAGCTTCTGACTAAAAATACAATACCCATCAAGGGTATAAAAATTAATAGAGTATTTAATGATGGTATACATTTAAAAATTACTTTAATTCGCATTATTTTGTATGGACTGCCTCTTCAGAACAAGGCCAGTCACTTAGCATCCTGTTTTCCATCTGCAGGGAGATAGTTTTAATAAGCTTTACACTTGCCGGCAGAGACACCTAGGGAAATGTGTGGGAAAGGGTGTGGAATATGGTGAAAGTCGGGTGGGCAAGTACCAAAGTACCGAAATGTATTACACGAATACTCCAGCAACAGCAACTCTCCCCCTCGTCGAGGTCCTGCATGATGTATCGATTTTTCTGCGTTGTTCAGGCAGTTCATTTTGTGCCATTTGTCGGGGCTTTCTGCCTGTTCCGGCGTTGATAATGCCAATGCGTAATCCATCTCACCGAGCCCCGCCCAGTTTACCTTGGTTGTTCTGGTGTTTGGGTGTGCGGGTGTGCGGGTGTGAGGGTGTGCGAGTGCACTTGAACTTTGACATTTCAATGCGCTGACATTTGGCTTAGCTGCTTACATACGTACAATACAAACGTGCGTGCGGTCGTCATTGGCCTGAAAAGTTTGTCAATTTCGAGCAGACACAAGCCCGTGAAAACCCCCTTTAAATACCCCCCGACATATCCCCCAAAATATAGCCAGGAAAACCACCAACCGGTAAATGCATCTCCCTCTGGATCCATGAATAAAATATCGAATGCATACGCTTTTGATAAAACACAATTTTAATAACTTTGACATCAAGTACACATCGAGAAGTTGTTGCATAAACACACACCCAAAACACACACAAAATAGTCGTAGACACACGCACACACTCGGAAGAACGTGTGCGCATGGTGTGTTTATAAATATATATATATATATATTTTATATGTATTTATGTGTATGAAGCGTATTGGGTTTCAACTGCAGCATGGACTTAATTGCCATATCGCCCAGATAGTTGCTCTTGTTCTCCTTGCTCTTCTTGCAGTTTTGTCGGTTTTGGTTTCGGTTTCAACAGCAAGTCCATTTATTTACAAGAAAACTTTTCCAAAAATTGAACCATAAATATAAGTACCATATGTACATACATATACTATATATCGCTAGGTACGAATGCATATCTGTGGCATATAGCTGCATACACTTTACATATCATATATCATGGCTTTAACTTTTTTGTCTGCGAGTGTCTGTGTTGGCAACAAAAGTTGAACTTTTAGTGTTCCGAATCTAATGCTACTTTTGCCAGAAAGAGTTGTGCCTAATTAGTCGTGACACTTTGGGACCTTAACCTACTGCGGGGGCGTTCTACTTAACTTTTGCGGACACTGTACAGATTTCTGGGTGTAAATTCGTTACAATTTGATATTTACTTAACATCCAATCAAAATAATTGAGCATAACTGCCATGCCTAAGTCTACAACTAAAAAACACATGTTCAACTAACACAGAATGCATGAAAGCGTAAGAAGTTCTTTGGACCCAGCCTATATATATATATTATATCTCTTCGATCTGCCCCATCACCAATGTTCCACACCTACTTAGGACTCTAGGGTTTTCTAATCGCACTACTACCTCTTGGATTTCTTTAAGACACAGGGAAGACTTTAGAAATATTTATGTTTTCCATTAAATATAGATATAAACTACACATACACATAACTTAACTTAGTCTAATGAGTATCAGCTAGTTTCCCTCCTCTTCGAAGTGTTTAAAAAACTTCGCTCGATTGGTTTCGGTTTCGGTTTCAGTTTCCGTTTCCGCTTCCGGTTACAATATTTGATTTTTTCTTCGGCTTTCAGCTAACCGAACGTACTGTCTTTTATTCTGTAGGGGGGGCACGTGTGTGTGGTTGAGTATTTCTTTTAGTTGGTTAGTTAGTTACAGGCTAGTTAGGATTGTCACTGCTAAAAACGTCGCCTTTACTTGCTAGTTACACAAAATACGATGCCAATTCCGTAGCATTTTGCCTGCTTGTGCTGCCAGTGACCTTGGTTACAGATACTGGTCCTCGTTATCCTTTAGTTGAAATCAAATCTTTGCACTACGGGCTCGGGCCGCATGCTTTCGGCCGAAGAGAATCCTCTTGAAGGCCCGACGGAACTCGGGATTGAAGATGGTGTAGATGACCTGACGGAGATATCAAATGTAACAGATAGTGTTATCAAAGGTATTCTTCCAATTTTTAAAACAAAATACATATTGTGAACTATGGGAAATAAATTGATTTTAAAATCCTTCGAGACTTAAAATCTCTTAAAGAATACTGTACAAATATCGCACCTTTAATATCGACCACCAACAATGAAGAACAAATTAAAAGTCTCGTCTGGTGTACGTACCGGATTGAGGGTGGAGTTGAAGTAGCCCAGCCAGAGGAAAAGCGAGGCCACCGCCGTGTGGATCTCGCACTCCTTGCACAGGCTCATTGTCAGCGCCATCACGAAGAAGGGCAGCCAGCAGATGACGAAGGCGCCGGTGATGATGGCCAGTGTCTGGGCCGCCTTCCTCTCCCGCTTCGCCTCCAGCAGTTGTCGCCGCTTGGCCAGCTTCTGGTGTGGATTGGCGATGCTGGCCAGTACACCGCCAATGCCTACTCCAGCATTCTTGACGGGGCTGCTGCCCTCGGCTCCGGCCTCCTCGGAGCCTCCTCCTTCCGTTGTAGCCGCAGTCGCAGTCGTTGTCAGGCAGCCGGCACCGCCCATGGCGATGGACTGGGCCAGAGGCGTTATGGCATTCAGATGGGAGGCTATCAGATGGTGCTGCGTGGCATGGGCCACCTGCTGTGACAGCGTGATGATTTCATTTGCGTTGCTGGTCCGGTACTAAAGGGTTAAACGGAGTGGGACATGGGGTCAATGGGGATAATCTCAAGCAAAACAAAGGGGTCAGATGTTGCAAAGAAATGTCTATGAGGTGTCGGTCAGTGGCACTTGGGAACCCTATTGGGCGGAACCCTCTTCCCCCTTTTAAACAACTTTAAAAATATATTAAAATTAAAAAATCACAACATGAAGTTCGTTTTGAGACAGAGAATACTTTCAAAAGAGGTCAGTGAGCGTAATGTTTTATTTTCTTTAAGAAACTCTAATGAATTAATGTCAAACTTACATCGTCGGCATCACTGGAAACGGTGGTGAGTTCGGTGCCGGCATGGCTCTTGTTGTCATAGTTACTGGTGCTGAACTCGGTCTCCTCGCGGGTTATGGCCAAGCTGGCAAAGTCCACGGCTATGGCGGCCACTGATCTGGCCACCGCACCCTCCGATCCCGCACAGATGCCCGCCGTGTTGGTGTTCCGTCCAAAGCAGATGCGCATCCTTTTCCGGGGTCTCCGCTGCAGTTGGGATTCGTTTTCACCCTCGTTTGGAGTCCTATCTCCGGCCTCCAAACGCTTTCTTTCCGCCCGCCGCTTGCCACGCTCCTTCTTCATCTCCCGCACCGTGGAATCGCACTGTGGAATAGGGGGAAAAATGTGGAAAAGTAAGGAAAAGTATGTGCGAAAAGCTGGTACTTGACTTGTTTATGGGCCCAACGCTTGTTTATGCACTCGATGAAAATCGAGTTTCGGGGGAAGCACCACATTTGGCTTGCGTCTTATCAACGCAAAGAAAACAAAAACCAAATGGGAAAGCGGGTATTTCTAGATATTCAGTTTGGGTATAATTGATTTGGGTACAGAGGGGGAAAATAATGGATTCTTTAAGGATATAAGTTTAAGCGAAGCTTAAATGTTTAAGCTTGAAAACAGAAAGATAAATAAGGTTATGCATGTGGCATATCTAATCTATTAATTAATTAATTTTGATTGTCCCGTTTTCTACATTTTGAAGAGGCTCTAAATAATTATAGATGTCAAATTGGATAGCGATTGCTAAACGGTTTATAGAACACATGTTTCTTATGATATGGATGTCTTTAATTAATTCGTAAGCCTGTTTCCATACTTCATTGTAGAGAAATCACAATAGAATCCCACTAAATATATCCCAAGTGCTTCTAAAGATCCTTCCATTATTTCTAAAACAACAAACTTTTGCTCTTTGATATTAAATTAGTTCAAGTGTAACATATATATATAGCATTCTGCCCCTGACACTGTGGCCACACATTGGGGCGATCATAAATCTCTGTTGGCATTTGTTTGGCTTCGCCGCAGAGGCTCGCTTCGAGTGTTCACTTGGGCATGCTAATGAGCAGCTGAGGACGTCCCAGAGTAGCACAAACCCCTATGTTCCCACACAACCCCACAGCCCCGCCCCCTTAAACCCACTTGGCATTATTGTTTCTGTTAATGACATACTCATTATGGCAGGCAGGCAAATACACTTCTCTCCAGCAGCCTCAACATCCACTTCGTGGGCCCACCCATTGGAAATGGCCAGCATACTTGTGGAATTTCATTATTTGTACGACGGGGCGTATGAGTAATTTTGCGACTCTTCTCTATTTCCCTGTATTATTATTATTTTTTTGTGGGAGGGGAGGGACCAACTAAGAGGACACTTGAATTTTATTAGGGCCTTGCCTTATTTATAAAACTTACGTCCGTCTCGGTAAGTGTCACATTGAAGGACTTTTGGGCGCGTCGTTGGATGCGCTTCCTGGCAATTATGTAGATTTTCCAGTACAGAAATAAAATCACCAGCAGAGGCACATAAAAAGTGCAACAGGTGGCAAAAATCTAAGAAGGGGAAAAGCAAGAAGGGAAAGTAAATGATTAGAGTAGTGGTAAAGGAAGTCCATCAATTCTGAAAAAAATATGTGTAATGTCTTCCCGCACCTGATAGGCCACATCCTGCGACACCATGCAGTGCTGCTCCTCGATGCGCTTCATGTAATCCGGATCCTTCCAGCCAAATTGCGGTGCCAGGGAGACAATCAAAGCGGCGAACCAAACGCAGAATATCATCAGAAAAACGCGACGCGGTGTCCGCAGATTGTTGTAGTCAATGTTGGTCACTGTCCAATATCTGCAGCGGAAGGACAACCCCATTTCAACTGTCATCTCCGTCCGTTAAATCAGGAGACCCGCTCACTCACCTGTCCGCCGCAATGGCCACCAGATGCAGTATGGACGCTGTGCAGCAAAGGACATCGCAAGATGTCCAGATGTCGCACAATTCCGGTCCCAATATCCATCCATTACTTATCTAAGGAAGAGCAGAGCAGAGTAGAGAAGGATGGTGTAGTAAGAGTGGAGAGAGCAGAGAAAGGAGTGACATTTAGCAACACATTGTTTGCCAGCGATGATGCAATTGAAACAATTAGCCAGCACAGCGAGGCAAACGAGCCAGGCTCTCCCTTTCGGGCTCTGGCTCTGTCACTGGCCCAGTGTCAACTCTTTGGCGCCTAATTTCATTTGCTGGCATTCCTGCTCAAGTTTCCATTAGGGTAATCGAGTTAGTAGAGCAATGGCAATGACAATGGTTGAATACTCTAACAAAAAGAGTGATATGAATTAAAAGCTATGATTGCATTTAATTATTTACATAATTCAAAATAAATTAAGGATGTGTTGACTTAGAAAATATATTTATATATGGAATACATATAGATTTGATCTCGATTCTTAATCAATTTTAAAAATACATTTATTAGTGTACAACTTGTTAGACTTACCTCGTAGACTGCTCCTAGTGGCATCACAAGACAGGCAACAAATAAATCGGCCACTGCCAGAGATGCAACCAAATAATTGGCCACATTCTGCAAGTTCCTCTCGAGTATAATGGCGGCAATTACGAAGACGTTGCCTGTGAACAAAACGAGGCATTCAGAAATTACGATAAATTGTTAAATTGATATATTAAGTGAGGCGGCTAAGCCTTCCGTTTCGTTTCAATAACGATGAATAAGTTAGGAGGGACTGGCCTGACTTTGAGTGGCCAAAGTCATTAACTATGAGTTCTGGGGCTGATGCCAAGGAAGGACTTGACTTCAACCCGATGGAGTTGCGCAAAATCAATCAGTGGCAAAGGATTCGTGTCAAAGGAGTTTCCATTTTCCTGCCTAATTGCAGGCAATCGTGCAGCAGCAGCATGCAACGTGCTCCAATCTCTTTCCCATTTCATTTTCCCCCTCTTCATTCCGATGTCTTTGGTTGTACTCTGTACTCTCTTTCCCTGTGGGATGCAAATGAGAGCTGGCTGCTAGCTCCATCATCATCGCCATCATCATTGTCATCGCTTGCTTTGATTAAGCGCATGCAACTTGGCAAATTGTAATTGCCGCAGTGCCACCTCATCTCTCACCTGCATCGGCCCCATCTCACTCATTTCCCCGCCCATTTCCCCACCCCACAACAAGCGCACCAAGGCACCATTTTCCCTGGCAGCCAGGACGACGCCCAGGTATGTGGCTGAGACAGTCGAGTTGCTTGTCTGCAGGATGTCAAAACGTTTTGTCCTCGCTTGGCCCGTGCCACAAAATGCATTTGCATATGTCTTTGCCGGGGAAATGTTGCGCATACGACGTGTGTTCGCGAAAAGCACCAAACTGTTTTCCCTTACGTGTCCGTGTGTGTGTGTTAACACGGGGGGAAAATAATACAAAATATTGGTATCATATGGTATTTAATAGCTTTAAAATGATTTTTAGAATGTCAATGTTAATCAAGTATAACTTGCCTTTACCCTTTTTATGTTTTTAAAAGGAAATCAAGGAACAATTTAGTATAGATAAGTTCAAAATAATTTTGTTTTCGCTTAATAATAGCCATTAAATTTCTTGATATAATTACTTATGGCAATAAGTTTGGGTTGGCTTAAACCAAGTACTCTGCTTTTCTTCCTGTGCATACTCTCACACCTCCTGCTTAGTGTGTTTTTCGTAATTTGCATTTGACGCCTTGCCGCGGTTTTAATAGCTTTTTACGTGCCGCGGCAAACATTTTTTTGGAAACTTTGGTCGCTTTTGCCAACACACCAACACCCGGCTCCTTGCTGCTTTTGGCGGCATTTAACTCAAAGGACTTCGCCTCGTACGTCATCCAGCCAGGGAAAACAATCAGCCACCCCTAAGAACCACCAGGATAGGCCCTATTCCCCGTGAAGCAGGCTTGCCAGCAAATCATCTTTGTAAGCCCAAAAATCAATAAAAACCCGAAAAAAATCCACCAAGAGGGCGCAATAAAAATCTTCTGCATCATAAATTTTACTTCATTTACAGTTGAGTATGGAAACTTTTTGGTGCCTTATCCCTGCGGCATAAATTTGAGAATAATTTAATGCACACCCCGGTCTCCGCCCCTGCTGCTTGGTAATTTAAATTTGGATTTGGATTTTGATTAAGTACTTGCCTATGATGGTGACGAGTATCATGAGGCCCAGGACAACGGCCATAGCGATCATTTTGACCAGCAGCCAGAACTCCATTTCGGCCCGCTGCTCCTCGTCCAGGTCGAGGGACAGCCTGGTGCTGCCATTGCCGACTTCGCTGCGGTTCCAGGTGCTGAAATTGCTGCCCACCGTGATGGTCGTGTCCTCCTCCAGCTGGCTGAGATTGCCATTCAGCTCGATGAAGAGGCTCTCGTTGAGCAGAATGGCTGGCAGTTCCGGCAGTTCTATTTCCAAAATGCTCCCCGGCATGGGCTCAGCCATGGCTGTTGTCACCGCTTTCAGCATGTCCTCCGTCTGCCTCTATATATATTATGGTTTGGGGTGTGTCTAAAGCGATTGTTGTTCCTGCTGCCGCTGTCGCTGCTGATTCTGATTCTGATGTTGCTGCTCCTGCTCTTGATGTTGCTCCTGTCGCAGCTGTTGCTGTTGATTCTGTTGGTGGTGTTGCTGCTGCTGCTGCTCCTGATTCTGATGCTGATGCTGATGCTGATGCTGGCGCCGCGTCTGTCGTTCGTGTTGCTGCCGTTGTTGCGGGTGATAAAGCGCCTTAATCGTGCTTGCCAAGCACTTAACACGTAAACTGCAAAATACAGGGCGGTACGAGAGTCAATGGGGAGTCAGAGATGAATGGCAAACAGAAAGCAAGTGAGATATATAGAGTTGAGTGTAGCGACTAGGAGAATATCCTGGACAAAGCTTAAATCGAGCGAAATGAAAGTCAGAAGCTTGTAACGCTGCGAAGGAGTCGTTTCCGACCCTATACATCATATATATTCTTAATCAGCATCAAAAACTGAGTCGATTAAGACATGTTTGGAGGAAAAACACATTTTTTTAATTTTTTATATTTTATAGAGGGGGTGAACTTGTCAAAAATTGACTAAAAAATATTGATTTTTTTACATTTAAATTGTAGTATGCAGATTTATTACTCTATTAAAAACTAACATAGGGCTGCTTTCCGATTTAAAATTAATGGTTTTTTGGCTAAGTTATGAGTTTTTTAATCTTTGATTTGTTCATCAAATTGTCATATAAAAACATAAATAATTTGACTCAAAAAATGGTATTATAGTTTCAGTCAGAAGTTTCAAACGCTGTGGAGGAATCGTTTCCGACCCCATAATCAATATATATTCTTAATCAGCATCAACAGGGGAATTTTTCTAGGCATTAAAAAAGATCATAAATTTTTCTCAATTTTATGAAAATTTTATAAGGGGTTAAAAATGTCAAAAATTTGGGTTCTTTTACATTTTAAATGAAGTATGCAGATTTATTGGCCTAATAAAAACGAACATAGGGCTGCTTTCCAAATTAAAATTAATGCTTTTTTGACTTTGGTATGAGTATTTTAATTTTTGATTTGTCAGAAAAATTGTCGAAAATCTCCATTGATATCGATTCAAAATATGCGAATATTTTAAGCTTAGTTATCGTTTGTATAATGCAATTGTTAACTTCAAGGGTATATAAACTTCAGCTTCCCAAAGTTAGTTTTATAATGGTCTTCAATTATTTAAAGGAAAAACCTCTCATTATCCTTTTCTGCACCCGATATACCCTTTTAGCCTCCGATTACTGGGTACAAACAATAAGTCTACGGAAAACAAGAAATAAAAGCATGGCGACCAGCGTGTATAGAGAGGAAATCATAATGTTGCGCCCTTAAAATAACACAATTTCCCTCTTTATTTTTATTTTGTTTTTACGTATTTCCCCGACGGAGCCGAAGTGCTTGAAATTAAGTTCACATCGTGATAAATGATGCTCGCGTCTCGTCTCGCTCAGTTTACCTCGATTCCCGGCAATTAATTAATCATTTCAATCGAGCAAACTCTTTCATAAGTTTTTTACCAGCTTCCAGCCCACTGCCCATCCCCCACTGGCCCCCACTGACCTCCAGCTGCCAGGCTTATCTCGATTTGCGATGTGGAAAATCCCCCACAGAGAAAAAATCATAACTTAATTTGTAGCTACTGCTGTATCTCACTTGCCTTTTTGTTTGTGTGAGTGTGTGGGTCTTTTTTATAGCAATTTTCCAGCATATAATCGCGTTTGTGATAACTAAATGATATCAATTTCAAGCATTCATAGGATATGGGATACGCATTATCTTTGGCTATTAAATTGCACTACATACATTTAAATAATGAATAGATCAAAGAAAACATATGTTATTAAAAATATATTGTGTGTTATGGCACAATTAAAATAGATTACAATTCTAATTTGAATAGAGTTCAGAAGAATAAGAATTTCCTAATATATTTCCTAAGTTTTAATCCATTAATTTTGTAAAGAATGACTCTAGTATTTTTGTCTCTGTTCCTTATCTCTTCGGATTTGTATTTTTTGGATTTGCATGCAATTTGCCCTCAGATCAGATTGTCTGGCTCAGTCTCAGTCGAAATGTCGCTGCTAACACTTGGCTTTAAATCGCAGCAATTGCTGCTTTTGCTGCTATTATCATTGCTGCTGATCCTGATGATTTTGCCACTTCCCGGATCAGCTTTGGATTTGGTCAGGAACGACCGCTACGAGGGCTTTCCCGCGGAATATCCAAGGTATCTGAGACGCCAATGAGGAGATAGCTTCCCCTGGAAAATGTTTCTGTGAAAGAAACAATAAAGTTGCGAATAGCATCTGCATTCTAGCTTAATTCACTCAAGGGAGAAGGGAAGCGGGGCTGCTAACCTGGCTTGCCACTTGGCCTTTTGTGCGCCCAACACACTGGCTGGCTGGCTGACCTTTGTCTGTGTCAAGGTGTCCCCAGGTGAGACAGGCAGTTAGCCAGTCTGAGGCAAACACCTGCGGAGGCGGCTTGATGGATTGCAGTCGCCGGAAATCTCCATCTCCGCAGGGCAGGGAAAGGCATCGCGCAACCCTCGCGAATAACTATACTATAAGTGTGTTTTTTTTCCTGCAGCTTTCGGTTTTGTCAGCTGAAATGTTAATGTGAGGCACCGGAAACGGAAGGCGGGAGGAAGGAGGAAGGAAGGGGTCAGTCCAAGAGCAGCTCATGTGTGAGGAATATTTTCATAGTCAAGGTAATCGTCGTCCTTCGCCTTTTCAGACGTTCTGCTCTCTCACTCGGCCGCTATTAATAAATGCACTAAAAATGTTTCTGTGCTGGCTCTGTGGTTTGGAGTTCAAGGGTGCTTTCATAACCAGTATGTAGTATGCTCCTCTCACATATATTTTCCAGCATATTTTCCTATGGCTTTGTTGCATTTTCTGCTGCCCAAAAGTATGCTCGAAATGCCTTCCACCGAAAATCCTAGTTCAGTGAGCAAAATATAAAAACGAACAATAAGTATATGTAGTTCAATAACCTTATGAATCAAATGTGTGTCTGTCTGATTTTGCTCATGAAAAAGCAATCAATTCTTGGGAAAATATCTAGTATTTACAGAGCAATGATGTATTTTTAAAGCCATTAAAGGCAAATGCCCCAGGGCTTTTTTATAATTAGAAACTTCTTAAATATCCCAAATAATATTTAATATATATTGTTATTCGTAACAATTAAAGTCCGCTCTTTAAGCGAGGTATCTTAAGGTCGCTACCCTAGGTCATAACCTCTGGTTTTTAATTATGAAAGCGAGTTGTTGCTTTCACACACCCAGTTCTTGTTTTTTCTGTATAAACCAAGGCCATGTACATGAATTACATTCCATATACGCCGAAAGAAAAAATGTGCTAACGTTTGCAACAAAATTCGCCTTGGGGGATAGTCGAAAAAAAAAATGGCATGAAGAGGAGGAGTAGAAAAAAGGAAAATCGCGCCGGGCTGCGGTTGTTTCCCTCCCCAACCCCCTGTGCTTTTCCCTACGAATCTGATTCTGAATCTGCCTCGAAGGCTCAACTCTTTCCCCAACTCACACACACGCACACATTGCTCCCTCATACTAGAATTAATTCATACTCTAATAAATATACAAAAAGTTCTATTCTGTTGAATGTCTGCTGCTGGCAGAGGAGCACGAGAGCCCTTTCTTTGTTGTGTCAGCGTAATCTTTTAGCAGCCTTTTTGGTTTTGATCAGCCCGAGGTTCTCGTCCTAGTCCCTGGTCCTGGTCCTGGTCCTGGTCCTGGTCCTGGCTGCAGAGTGACTCGCACAATATACCAATTAGCCGAGAGGAGGACGACAAATAATGTTGGGAATATGAGTACAACGAATCGGAGGGACTCATAACTCAGTTACCAGCTATATTCCCAGAAAGGGAAACAATGGATTGGCGCCTCTGGAAACAATTCACTCCTCCGGACACAGAGTGAGTGTCTGTTTGGCGAACTTTATGAAGATGATTGTACGACAGCAATTTGCACTCAAGTTGGGAAACTTGCCAGCGGAAACTGAAAACGGGTAACTGGTAACTTTTCCCCGAATCCTAATGCAGCAGCCGCCTAATTGCACCCGGTGACACTCACAGGCATTGAACTAATCAACTTGCGGACCCATAAAACTTCCCCCGAAGAACAATTCCCGATGGTCGGTGGTCGCAATGCAATTTTCCATTAGTTCCTGGGGGTCACAATGCGTCATAATATAATCACACTGGGAAAATGGTTCACTAAATTATGAAAAACTATTACTACTATTTCCCTTTAGGTTAGTATTTTTAAAGTAACCTAAGACCTACTCAATACAGAAATAATATTGTTAGTTATGCCTGAAAGCATTCTTTGTGGTTTAAATAGCTTTAAGCTTTAAATGAACTCATTTCCCTGCAGTTGCAACGTAACTAATGAGGTGTAAGCTAATTACCTCTTTATAATCACTATTTATTTACTTAAAGTAACTGAAAAATTGTCACAAATTTTGTTCAGTTGCAAAATAGAAACCCCTTGGCATTAGGGGACCAAGACTTTCAGCCAGTTTCCTGCCCGCAACGAAAAATAAACATCAAATACATATTTCTCCAGCGGCTGCGAGAACTAAGTGCAGTTGCCGCAGCCTCCGAACGAACGACAAAACCGCCCAGGCAACCCACTCGGCTGACCTTGTGGAATAAAATACGTATTCATTATACTCACACATAAGCATAATTATGTCCTTTCATTTTCATTTAGGTCGCTTCATTAGCGACGACGCCCAGCCGCAGGTAAATTCGTCAACATAAATATTTATGCCGAGTTCTGACGACCACGAAGGATATGAGAGGATCCTGCTGCTCCCGCTGTGGCTGAAGATGATGATTATGATGGTGATGGTGTTCCGCAGATCCTGAGAGTTGGGTCGCCCCTCGCCTATGCCCGATTTGTATTTATCTTTTTTGATTTCGTGCTCGGTCTGGGGGCTTTTTTCATGTTTGCATCCTAATTATGCGGGCTCTCACTGGCTTTTATTATTCAATTAAACGAAACACATACAAAATCAAAAGGTAAACCGGCTGATTTTTTAAGGACTTTAACTTGCACTCTGGTGTTGTGTGTGTGTGTGTGTTTTGATTTTGGCTTTCAGTCTTAGGCGTTGGTTAATTTCTTAAATAATTCTTTTGTTTTGTGATAATTTTTGTTGAAAATTTCCAAAATCTGTTCGTGAATGGGGCGGACGCGTCGCGTCTTGAGCGTAACTATTGACAAACTGCTTCAATGTGGCCGTTTCGAGTAGACGAATCGCTGAAAACCAGCTGATTTTTCCGGAGACTTTTCCATCTGAGCACACGCAGGCGCCCTTCAAATTCCTCTCTTATACGAATGTATAATTTTTGGAAAGTCTCCACGCTCTCGGAATTTAAGAGAATGCAAATTCGATTTCGAAAATTGGGTCGCCTCTCTTTGCTGCCTGTTGAGTTTCGAGTTTGAGTTTTCAACGCAATTATTTTGTGTGGAAATTATGGGAAAATCCTCTACAGATGCTGCTGTTGTTCCGCCTCAGCGAGCTAATGGAAAATGCAAACAAAACGCGAGTGCGGACAATGCAGGACTTGGAGCCGGACCCCGATTTAATATATCTAATGCACGTTCCCAGGGGCAGCTAATGCGCATTAGGCCTTTGTCCTGGTCCTGGTCCTGGTCCTGGCAATCGGCATTTTCGATAGATTCGACGGCGTCCATGGTCGTCCTGCCTGCCATCCTGATGGCCGTCAATTTGATGGCCATTTCTATGCAGCGGCCGTAATGCGAAACATTCCGGAGTTCTCTCGAGTTGGTCAAACTGCTTAGGCGTTTGCCTTTTGACTTCCGCCGCCTTTTGTTACAGGACTCCGTCTCCGGCTACGTCTCCGGCTCGGACTTGGGGCATCGTAAATTAGCAGCGGTTTATTGCCAGTACGTGACATTTTGGCCCCGTTCCGGCGTCTGTAGTCAGAATTTTCCTTTGGCTATAATTACGGCCTTCATTTATTTGCCTGCTGCTGCTGCTGCTCGGGTTTTCCCCGGCTTTTCTCAGGTTTTTTTTTCCTTCTGGCTTTCCTTGTGTCGATTGTCTATCCATCGCAGGCCTTGCGGCTTTGCGGCTTGAGGCTTCGTGCCAACAATAAAACATTGATTGTTGCAATTTCTTGGCCATTGCGCATACGACGCGTGGGCTGTGATTGAAGTCCTTCCGCCAGGCACTTAAAACCGCAAAAGAGTGCAGCTTATTGCCCTGGAATTGTGGTGGAACTCTAGAACTATTCTGAAACTATCTTAATGTTCGCTTTACTAACTATCTTGGTGTGCTTACTACCCCCTTAAGTCGCACACACATTTAATATTTTTAAGCATCATCCTAATGAGCCAGAAACTTTAACTGGAGACGCTGACACCGCCCCTCACCGCGTCCTTCCTTCCTCGCACGTAAAACTCCAATTGTGCCGGCGGGGTGTGTATTGTGTGTGTGCAGGATGGTGTGCCGGGGAGCGTTAAGCATTTGCCAGTGCGTGACATGCGGCCCCTGCGAAGCTGCATTGACACACTGAGAGGAAAGTCTAGCATTGAAAATGTGCTAAGACTTGGTAATAATAAGTAATTTGTAATAATTAAATGTATTCTACATTCTTTAGAGATGAAAATTTAATAAAATAATCAATCAAGTAATTTAATTGAATACTTCCGTCGAATGACAAAATATTATATAAAACTAGCAAAGTAAAGTTACAACAAGGTTGTTCTTGTTAACCCCCTCAGGTATCACAAATGCCTTAGAAAAGTTGAAATTTATATTATTAAAAAATACATTTTTATCCTATTAAATGTATTGAAATAATAATAGATTTTTTCTTTCCCTGCAACACAACTGCAGTTAACGGCAAGGACACTCTGGGAACTGCAGCAGGGAAGGTTGTTGACTCCGCGCTCTCTCTCTGTGTGTGTCATTGTTTCAAATGGCTGAAAGTTAAGCGAAAATCTCAAATAATTTGCCATTATAAATGGCACCCAGATAAGCAGGAGCAGGAGCAGCCAAAGGAGCAGGATCGGAACTAGGTTTCCAAGGGGGAGAACCATCGAAACCAACTAAAGTTCGACAGCATCATCACTTCATTGGGGCTTTTGACAAAGCAATAAACTCGTCGTGGCCCCCTTACACCATGCATAACATAATAATTATAATAAAAACAATTTTTTCGCATTTTATGAGGAGCATAAAACTGTGGCATATTCTCTGGAATTTACTGATGAATTGCGGTTTAGTTTTATGAGATGCCCCAAACGAGATACAATATATATGCAGTAAATAGATATGTATATACAGAGCATGTGTGTAAGATCTTGAGCCGAGACAGTTTTATGAGCAGCGAGGAGGAACCAGAACAAAGCCGCCGTGTGGAGAGCGTAGAAGCTATGTCAACATTTTATGCGCCTTTAATGTTTTGTTTTTGTTAATAAAATCGACAAGAGCCGAGAGACTTTGTTGGCTTCGTTACGAACCTGCTCCTGCTCCTGCTCCTGCTCCACTTCTGGCTTCTCCCCCGTTGGTGGCATTTTCGTTTTATATATTTTTAATGTGCGCACTTTGACACTTTTAATGAATCCCAAACATTAATTTTCTTAATGAGCGCGCTCATTTAAAGCCTAGGTCCTAAAGCATCCCGTTGACAAATGTCTGGCAGGCCATTATTAAACGTGGCCAAGACCGAGATGAGGCGAGATGAGGCTCTGATGCAATGACAATGGGCCAGCAGCAATTTCACTCCGACTCTTCATCATTTCCAGCTTAATGAAGTTTGAACAAAAAGCCATCGGAAAAGACACTCACATGACCGTGGCACTGTCCGTTCTTTCGGCTTAATGAGCCGCACTAAATTCACACGAAACTTTCCGGCCAAAAAGGGATCGTAGCGTGTGGCAACTATTTATCGCCGCTGCCGGGACAAATGTTCTACACTCGGTCGACTGGCAGGAATTTATTGACACACTCAATCGAACGCTTTGATCGTAATCCCTTTTCCAACAGCCAGCTAGCAACACCCCGCCGCCCCTCGAGGGAAAGTTAAGTCAAGTTCCTCCATTTGTTTGTTTGGTTTTTGTTACCAGAACAAATACAGCAACAAAGGAAGACACCACGAAAGTTGCGGCCAAGACTTGTGGGGGGTCAAGTGAAAATGTTATTTACTTTCATTTAGATTGTTAATGTTCTTCCGATTGGGTTTCGGGGTATGGAGAAAAGTTGCTAAAAGTTGATAATTTGTTTTATAAATGATTTAAAAATGTGTGTATTAAAATAAATTAAATTTTTAGGCTATTTTTTAATGAGATCGATATTTAAATCTTGCGGAATAGAAGTCGATTCGTAGTTAACCTGGAACTCGCAATGAAAATCCTCATCAAAGGAGAGTTTACTTTCCGGCGGAGCTGTTGGCTCGGGAAACAACTCCTGGCTGTAAGAATCCGCCTCATCGGGAGCGGTGGGCTCACAGGATGTACCAGGAGTGGACTCGGTATCGTCCTCCATAATTGCAGCTAGTTTGAGGATGACCTTTCGGTTTAGCTCATCCATTTCGGAGTCATCTTTCACCTCATCCTTATGCTCCACTTCAGCCATAATTTCCATTTCCCTTGTCATTTCCAGTCGCTTTTCCTTGAGCTTCTCATGGAGTGTTCCCACATTTTGGGATGCTGCTTCGGGATTATATATGTAGTTATTGGCCATGTCCTCCTTGGGAAACATGCGATCCGGTTCCAGGTACAGGCCGCACATCACATAAACCATGACCATCAGGGATAGGACAATGTAAACTAGAAAAGTGACATTAAATATTTTTGTAACTCTATATTTAATATATTTACCATCCACAAATATATTAGATATTATGTACAATTCACATCGCGCCAGATAAAATATATCTGGCACATAGTAGAGATGGTAAATACGGAAAATCAGAAGGGCACCCGTTCCGCAGGCCCAGTAGAATACCGAGACGCTCTCCCGTTTCACGATCCTCATCATGGTGATCACATTGAACATGATATTAAAGCCATATAGTACCACCCACTTGACGGGATAATCTAGAGTCGATGAGATGCTTTAGTATCACTTTAAAACCTTCAATTCTCCACTCACTGTCCAGGGACTTGATGAGCTCCACGAGCCAGAAAAGGAGCAGGAATACGGAGTACACCAAGTTCATGCAGCCAACGGATAAACCAAAATCCGCCCGATTTAACAGGCACTGGCACATCATAAACTTCACATAAGCTGGGTCCATTTTCCTCAAGGCTGTGCACTGACTGAGGCAAAATTGGGTCTGAAACTTGCAAGTTCCATATGAGTTTCTTATCGCTTGACGAAAGAAACATGTGCCTAATTAAGTGGGTATTTCAAAAGGAACACAAAACACACTCTAATAGTTTTGAAGTTGATTTTGAGGCCTGATTATTATTTCGATATATAAATGTTAATCAGTAGTGAAGTAGGAATTGTTTATTTAGGAACACTTGTACTAAGAAATTCCTTTCATTCCTTCCTTCTAGTTATAATTCCTTATTATTTAAAAGAGTAATTATTTATTTCTTGATTGATTATAGTTTCTCAATAGTTCTTAATCCTCGCAAGCCCAGCAATACATTCTTGCTGACAACAAAGTCCAACTTTTTTATCGAAACATATTCTGGCTGATTCAGAAACTTAATAAATATATAGTAAAGGAAAAATTGTAAATTGAATCAACAAATCATGCATAGAAGTTTCCCTTTTGCTGTCCCTGAGTTTTCGTAGTAAAATCAAAAAATTAAAACTAAAATGTATATTTTTTTTTGGCCAAAGCAAGGAAAGTTCATTTGCGCTCTTTGTGCTTACTTAATCCATAAACTTGACAAGGAATGGGGGGGTGTGTGTGCGGGGTGTGTGTGTGTGTGCCCCAGCTTTCCCCCTTTGGGGCACTTGAAGCCAACGTGACAACATAAAATGCAGCAGCTTCGCCTTTTTATGTGCCAGCAGCCAGCAACAAAATTTGTGTTGTGAAATATTAGAGGAACGATATGAAAATGCAAACCGCAGTAACCACCAAGAGTCCTATATGCGATATATAGGGGATATACCCAAGTGTGTGTGTGTGTGTGTGTGTGTGTTTGTGTTGATGTTGCTGCGTGCAGTGAAAGTTTAGTTGAGTTCAGTTTAGTTAACTGCAGCAGCAGCAGCAGCAGCAGCAGCAGGACCAGCAGCAGCGGCGAACGTAGTTGATTGCTCTGGTGCTGCTGCTGGCTGGTTGCAGTTTTTGGCCCAAACCAATGAACCACATAATGCGGCTCACCCACACACACACACGCACACACAGCAGCACGAAGCGCTCAAGTAAGCGTGTAAATTATTTGAATTATTTATGAGTTGCAGCAACAGCCGAAATATGCAGAGAGGCCATGGTGATCTGGCAACAGTGAACAGTGTACACACGCCACTAATCTCCCTCTCTTAAAAATAAAAATAATGATAATAAAAGTATTAAGAAATAATCATAACAAAGCAAGTTGAAAAGCACTACTGTGACGTGTAAAAAACAATTTATACAAAGATTTTGAATGGAGAGAAACTTTGAATGATTTCAATTTAATATGTTTATATATTTCACTTCTTTTATATAGTGCTCTTGGTTGTTTTAACTTTGGTAGCTTTCATAGAGAATCAAGTTTATATCTATATATTTTTGTGTATAATCAAGAGACTCCTTCTTCGTTTTTCTTTTTGTGTACAAAATCTGTGGCATATAAAAAGTTCGAGAATGAGAGTGTTCCCAGGAGCTGCCACCAATTCCCCGGGCGATGCTTAAACGGCCGACGACGTCCGAGGCACTTGGCATTTTGATAAATGTGACGCAATTGAAGTTTGTCGGCCAAAAGTTGTTCGGTCAGCTAACTGTAAATGTTAATTCCCAGCTGAGAAATTTATTAATAGCTTCCCTTGGCCGGGGTCCCTGCAAACAGAATAAAATAAGTTGAAATAAAAGAAAACAAAAGTAAAGTAAAGTAATCTGGGGAAAACAAAAAGGCAAACAGAATGGATACATTTCAAGTTCGGAATGCAGAAATTGAACTCAGGGAAATGCATCAGAATTCCTAATAAGATGAAAAATTATTCCCAGTTTCCCGGGCGCTCTTTGAGCTCGATTCGATTCGGGGAACGGGAAGTAGAGAAAATGGTACCGACATTCTGTTTAACTTACACTCATATCACGCATACGACCTCAGCGACTTATGGCCTTAATAAGTACAAGTATATGCCACTCAGTGGGAGGGAGGATTCGGGGCTGTGGGGGTGCGTGGGTGAATTTTGGGGTTTCTGGTAGATGGTAGATGGGGCTTACGTATCGCAATATGGCTGCCAATTGCACGCACTTTTGTCGTTCAATTTCAGTCGAAATACTCCTTGTTTTCCCCTTGCCAGAGGGCTTTTCCTATTTTTTTCTAGTTGCCTTCTTTTGGCTAAGTAGCTCAGCGGTTTCGCTCTACGGGAGGTCTGCTTAGTGCCCCCCCCTTGGGCGGCCCTGCCTCTGCCCCCCATTTGCCACGTGTGTCGGTGCGTGCGGCTATGTAATAATTTGGTCTATTTGTTGCCTGCCATTGGGTTTATTGAATTTGGCATTTGCATGTTAGACGACGAGTCATGTCGCGCATGTGAGTCCCTCTAAAGAAGCCACCCACTTGACGTTATTTTTGGCCAGAGAGATGTATATCGAGATGAAGAGTTCGATATGGTATTATAAAAGGGAAAACAAGGGTCTCTTTGCTTCGTATAATCGATATCAAAAGTATACAATATATTTGGTTATATTCAAAGTCTAAAGTCTAAATAGTGATATCCTTCTCAAACCGATATTTCTATTTCATCCCTAGCATCCCCTTTGACACACTCCCCAAAAATAATACCATTTTCTCAGTCCCCCTAGTGGCTGCCTTTTGCCTTGGCTTCTCTGCTGAAAGCTATTCAATTACGTGGCAGTAAATATTGCAAATGAAGTTGTTTATTGTGCATGATGTTATGCCAATTGAATTTGCAGCACAGAGGCTCCCCAAGGGAATTCCAGGTGTTACAGAAACGGGGTTGCAGATGGTTGTTGCCCCATGCGCGGGGTAATTAAAAATTGGCGTACACATGGCGTATGATGAATATTTGCTTGAGGGGGAGAACGTGGTGGAGGTGTGTCCTTGAAAATTTGTCCACGTTTCGGCTTGATTTATGCGAATTACGGGGCAACAAAATAAGTGGGGCGACAAACAAAGGCAACCGACCGACCGACCGTCTGTCCGTCCAAAGAACCGACCGCTAAACAAAATGAGGGCTCAGCAAAGTGCAAAAGCGAATTAATTATGCACATTAACTTTTGCCGCCTAATGCGGTGTCGCTACCGCTGTCCAGAGGCCCCCGCCTCTGAGGTGAGCGACTGATTCGAATCCGCATCCTGGACGCCTCCTGAATCCTTGCTGGCTGACCCCGGCTCCAGGCCTCGTTGAGTGCGCGGATGACTTTGAAAAATGGCAACGGGCGAAAGCTGCTTAATTAGTGCGTAATTTGTAAGTTGAAGAAAAGAAGGAAAGCTCAGCTAAGTGGAAAGCCGAGCAATGAGAGAGGTAAATATTAATTACTCCGCCGCCCCGCTGCCCCTTTGCCACGCCCCCGCTGAAGTGGGCTATAATTCGCTGGCTGAAACGGAATGAAATGACTGCGACGGCGACCATCTATCAATGCGGCTATCAATCAGGCAATGAAACCTTCTCCAAAAATGAAAAAGAAAAAGCAATAAAACAGAGAACTAAAAAAACCGGCAGCCGATTAAGCCAGCCTTTGGCTCTTGTTGATTCTGCGTAAACCCTGTTTATTTTCCATTTGCACCCTTTGAGCCTGCATACAAACGTTGTTTTTTCCTTTAACATATCTGCTTCATAAAATATATATAACGCATCGTATCTCCTGGATGTTTGCCGGACGAATTTTTTGTTTATTTAGGCTGCGGTCTTGCGGCCACTTTGCTGACGACTGACCGATTGCTTTGGGCCAGGTTGTTTTGGTTGTGGCCAGGTGTCAATTAGCCCCTCCAATTTGTGATTAATTCGCCCAGCTGTGTTGTCTCTCGGCCGTCTGTTAAAAACCCATTCAAGCCTGGCAACTCTCCGGCTTTCAGGTGAATTACTCACGGAAAGGCATGGCAGGGCAGCAGGGACCGGAGCTGCTCCTGGCTCCCCTGGTTTAATTTCCGTTGAACTTGCACATTTCTGGCCTGCATTCGCCAAATTGTATGCCACGGGGTCTGCCTTTCATCCCTTTTTTCATCATCTGCCTGGCCCTCCCGGGGGCCCCAAAAGAGACCCAGAAAAGCCAGGGCCCAGAAAAAGTTGAATTATGCGCGGAAAAACGACTGCCACGCTACCCTTCCACCTCCCTTTGCGGCTGCCATTTTCCAAAGTACTTTAAGGTCGTTCAGTTAAATGCAATGAAATTATTCTTCCACTGCGGTGGCCCATTGAAATGTTAATTAATGCCCGGAAAGGAGCAACAGCAGCAGCAGTAGCAGAAAGCAGTGGTCCTGCCACCAGGAGCAACAAAAGCAGCTGGGCATCAGGAGGCTCGTTGCCACTGCCATGTCGCCGGTCACCTTTAACCATGGAGGGATTTTGCTGTCGAACTCTGGTCATGGCCCGATCCCGATTCTGACCACAGCTGAAAGAGTCAGCAACTGTTTCCGGCATCGGCATCGGCATTGGCATCATGGGTACCGCTCCTGCTCCCTGCTCCAAACCTCCAGCTGCATCGTCATCAGAGCGTTGAGCGTTTAACGCAGTAAAAACAGAGACCGCCTTCTGCACCGGAGGGTTTGCCACAATAATTTACAGACCTTTAATACACTATCCGGGGAGTTTCTCTACAAATTCAACAAATCGAATTTTATCATAAAAGAGTCTATTTATACAATGATAATGAGTATCCTTTATTGTTCCAAGTAAAATAAAATAAATAAATACTTACTTTACAACTTTGAAAAAAAAACTCAAAGCTAAGGAATTCCCCAAGGGTCATCACTCACCAAATATACTATTTTTTTTATAGTAGTACCAGTAAATTAGTTACTTACTCCATCGTAAGGTAATAATTACAGATTATTACATTTATTGGTTGAGTATCCTAACCTTAATCTTCTATAATCTTCTCAAGATCTCCTTTTAACAATTCTCTTAAAGGGATAGGGAACTTTGAACTTCGGTTTCCGGGACTCGATTA